CCATCATCCAGGGACAGGCGCCTCGCCCCAGCTCCACAAAACCGCCTAGTATTTACTAGGCACAAACAATTTGGCGCCCACTGTGGGGCAGGAGCGAAGCGCTGGAGAAAGGATGGATGGAAACTTTAGAACTCCAGTGAAAGATGTGGTTGGAGGAGAAGTCACCAGAGGACTGGAAATGCCAACGGTTGAAGAAGAAAAGGACATGGAGGAGCGGGTGAAGGACCAGGGGCAACAGATCTCCAGTATGCAAGAAAGCCTGAGCCAGATCCTCACCATGCTCCGAAACAGAGATGAGCCAGAGGGTTCAAGGAAGCAGAGCGACAAGGGCAAAAGCATCGAAGGAGACATCCCACCTAGCCCTGCTCCGACAGAAGGAGGCGAGTCCGAAGCAGAAGAAGATTCTGAAGGCGCCCACCTGGACCTTCTCGAAGAGCACTTGCGGCCCGGCTATGGAAGGCCTAGGGGTTACAACGTGCTACACAACCCCCTGGCGAAGAGCTTATTCAAAACCCAGGTGTCGTCGAACTTCTCGTCGCTAGGGCTTCCCACCTACACAGGAAACTCAGACCCGTCGGACCACCTGAGCGCCTTCATGCTCAAAATGCAGTTGATAAACGCCTCAGACGCAGATCTGTGCAAAGCGCTTCCAGTCACCTTCGGGGGGCAATGTAGAAGCTGGTACGCGTCTCTGCCAGCAGGAATAATTGAAAGCTTCGAGCAGTTCGCCACTCTCTTCTCGTCGAAATTCGCGTCTCAGCGAAGGAGGCAACTCACGGTATCGGCGCTCATAAACTGTAGACAAGGAGAGGATGAGACTCTAACCGACTTCTACGATCGGTGGAATACCATAGCGTGTGAGGTCCGAGACGTCTCCACTAGTGTGGCCGCAGGAAACCTAACGATGTTGACTCACAGCCGCGAGCTCAAGAGGGCTCTCATAAAGAAGGAGCACAGTATCCAATCCTGGCAAGACCTAGACCGCGTCGTGCGCAAAGCCATAGTTCTGGAAGAAGCGCTCAATGCCGAAGAAGGCGCGAAGGGAACGCACGCTCTAGCAAGCAAGACAGAGAAAGGAAGGAACGGGTCACCAAAGCGAAGGGGGCGCTTGCCCGAAAGGCGCGGCTACAAGCCCAGGTTCAACAACAGAGACGGGAGACGCGAGGTGTTCTCTTCTGAGAAAGAAGAAGAGGGGCGCCGAGAAGGAGGCAGAACCAGAGAGGCGCGTCCCCGGCAAAGAAGAGAGGACGACCAGAAGTGGTGCGACTGGCACCAACTTCCGACCCACGACACCACGGAGTGTCGGGAGTTCAAAGCTAGCCTCAAGTACCTGGCCTCAGGAGATTTGAAAAACCGCCTGGACACACGGGCACACCCTAGAGAGGGAGTCAGGGAAAGAGAAAGATCTCATAGCCCAAGGAGACGATCCCGCACGCCCAGACGTCGGAGATCAAGATCGCCCAGGAGAGAGCGGACGCCGCGGCGGGAACGCTTACCACCGCCCCCAAGGCATGCTCCTCCCCCCATTCAGGGGCGAGAGGAGGAAGATGGGGTTGAAGTCACCACCATCGCAGGGGGGCACAAACGCCTTCGGACAGAAGGAGACCACTTGGTACAATGCATGAATGTTCACAGAAAGGAGCAGGTTGAGATCAGCTTCTCTCAGTCCGAGCTAGCACCCGAGGAATGTGGGGAAGACCCTTTGGTCATATACTTCAGGACGAAGAAATTCAAGGTTACCAGGGCCCTGGTCGACAATGGAAGCTCCGCAGATATCCTATTCTACTCCACGCTCAAGAGCATGAAGCGAGGGATACAAGACCTCAAGCCGTCCACTACCAGTCTAGTGGGATTCTCTGGCTCCAAAGTTCGAGTCCTCGGCTCCATCACTCTCCAGGTGAAGATTTGCGAGCCGGGGGCGACAAAAACACGCCTCATGGACTTCCATGTCGCGGATTGCGCGTTTGCCTACAACGCTATTCTCGGGCGCGGCTTCTTGTCGACTTTCTCGGCGGTCGCTTCCACCTGCCATCAGATGCTTAAGTTTCCCACCAAAGGCCAGATAGGACGCGTCCGCAGGGACTCCCAGCAGGCCAAGGAATGCTATCAAGCTACCATCAGGAACCTGGAGGTGGATCAGGTGGACTCCCGAGAAGTCACCCACGCCCGGAGGCGGCCGAAGAGGATGTGGCGATTGTCCTCGACAAAGAAGAGCCGGAGAAAAAGGTCAGAATCGCAGCTCACCTCGCAGAAGAACCGGCGCGGAAGCTCTTGTCCCAGGCGTCCCGAAGGAGCTTGCCGAACACTCCCTGTCGGTAAAAAGCAAAGCTCGACCAGTGCAACAAAGGAGAAGAAACGCCTCGCTCGAGAAGCAAATGGTGCTGGAGGAAGAGGTGAAGCGCCTGCTGAAGGCCGGCTTCATCCGAGAGGTCAAGTACCCGACCTGGCTAGCCAATCCGGTTTTCGTACGCAAGGCATCCGGGCTGTGGAGGATGTGCATAGACTTTACGAGTCTCAATGCGGCCTGCCCCAAGGACGCATATCCCCTTCCCCGGATCGATCAGCTAATCGACGCCACCGCCAACCACGAAACCCTAAGCTTCCTGGATATGTTCTCAGGCTACCATCAGATACGCCTATCGGAGGAAGACCAAGAGAAAACCGCGTTCATGACGCATATGGGGAATTTCTGCTACACGGTCATGCCCTTTGGACTGAGGAATGCAGGAGCAACCTACCAAAGGATGATCGACACGATCTTCCAGAAATAGCTGGGTCGAAACGTGGAAGCCTATGTTGACGACGTCCTAGTTAAAAGCAAGAGGGGGGCAGACCACTTAGCCGACCTAAGAGAAACGTTTGAAACGCTAAGAAGAGAGCGCCTCCGGTTGAATCCTCTAAAGTGCGTCTTCGGGGCCAAGGCGGGAAAGTTTCTGGGATTCATGATCACTAACAAGGGCATAGAGGCAAACCCAAAGCAGATCGAAGCAATACTTAGCCTAAAACCGCCCAGCACGGTCAAAGAAATTCAAGCTTTCAACGGGAAGATGGCCGCCTTAAGCAGATTCATTCCGAGAGCGACAGACAAGTGCTCTCCATTCTTCCAGATGTTGAAGAAGTCCGCCTCACGATCACAGTGGGGCCCGGAATGCGACAAAGCCTTCTTCCAGCTGACAGAACAGCTGGCCTCCCCTCCTGTCCTAAGCGCTCCCCTTCAGGCGGAGCCCCTGTACCTGTATTTGGCGGTCTCTGACCAGGCGGTCAGCTCGGCTTTAGTAAGAAGAAGCGCCGACGGCACCGATCACCCGGTATACTATGTCAGCAAGGCCCTCCTCCCAGCAGAGCGACGCTACATGCCAATTGAAAAAGCGGTCCTTGCAGTCGTCTCTGCAGCAAGGAAGCTGTGCCCTTACTTCCAGGGGCACCCAATCACCGTGCTCTCAAACCTTCCCCTAAGAAAGATACTCAAGAGTCTGGACGCCTCCGGAAGGATGACCAAGTGGGCGGTCGAGCTAAGCGAGTATGATATTTCATATGCACCGCGGCCCTCCATAAAGGGCCAGGTGCTAGCTGACTTCGTAGCAGAAGGTTTCAGTCTTGAGGCCTCTGCGGAAGAGGGTCAAAGTCAAATGTGGCGTCTGTTTGTGGACGGGGCCGCCGGAAAAGGCGGAGCAGGTGCAGGAATTGTCCTCGAGTCGCCGAGGGGAGTCATACATGAATTTTCTCACATGTTTCAAGAGCTCAAAACGAACAACGTCGCAAAGTATGAAGCCCTCCTAAGCGGTCTTTGAATCGCCACCGGAATGGGAGCCACCCGCATCCACATCTGCTCTGATTTCCTGCTGATGGTCAACCAAGTCCTGGGAAACTACGAAACCAAAGAAGAGGCGTTGGCAAAACTGGCCGACAAAGTAAGGGGCCTTCTCTCCCAACTAGAGGAGTGGAAGTTAGAGCACGTCAAACGGGAAGATAATCACCACGCCGATGCCCTATCCAAGCTGGCAACCGCGCTGGACTTCGAAGGCGACCGGCAGATCATTGTAACTAAGGAAGCCCACCCGGGTTGCGGCGTCATGGCCATTGAAGAAGGAAGTGGAGACTGGCGTCTCCCCATAATAGAGTACCTGCAGAAAGACACGCTCCCAAGCGAAGAGTCCCAAGCGAAACAAATCAAGCGGAAGGCGGCCCATTATAACATGATCGAAGGGCAGCTACATAGGAGGTCATTCTCAGGAGCATACCTTAAGTGCCTGGGTCCCACCGAGGCGGAATGGATCATCAAGGAAATCCATCAAGGCACATGCGCCTCCCATGCGGGCCCTAGAAGTCTTGAGAAAACAATCCTATTGCAGGGGTACTACTGGCCCACCGTGAAGAAGGACGCAGAGAGAGTGGTCCGTAAGTGCCACGAGTGCCAAACTCATGCCAACAAGCAGCATTTGCCCAGTGCGGAGCTAAGGAGCATAACCGGCCCGTGGCCATTTGCACAATAGGGTCTCGACTTGCTAGGCCCTTTCCCTACAGCCCCCTTGGGAAAGAAGTACCTGGTGGTGGCGGTCGACTAAATCACAAAATGGATAGAAGATGAATCGCTCGACACGATCACCAGTGCCAAGATCCAGAAATTTCTCTTCAACAACATAATGATCAGGTTTGGAACTCCCAACACAATCATCACTGACCACGGAACGCAATTCGACTGCAGGCCATTCGAAAATTTTTGTGCTAGGAACCGCATTACATGCAGGATGGCGTCAGTCGCGTTCCCTCAGGCCAATGGCAGGTAGAGTCATCCAACAAGCTCATCCTCAGAGGACTAAAGAGGCGACTCAAGGAGGCTAAAGGAGGGTGGACCGCTGAGTTGCCACATGTGCTCTGGGCGCATCGCACGAACTACAAGCGGGCAACCGGAGAAACTCCATTCGCCCTGACATATGGCTCCGAAGCAGTTGCCCCCACTGAAGTCATCCTGCCCTCGCTCAGGGTCCAGGCATATGACCCGGAAGAAAATCACAAAAACTCCTTCACGAGCTCGACATGGTGGAAGCAAGAAGAGATGCGGCCCTGGCCCGAACCGTGCAAGAAAAGCTCAAGGTAGCCAGAACCTACAACGAGAAGGTCAAGCCGCGCCCGCTAGAGGAGGGAGACATGGTGCTTAAAAGGAACTTCGAGCAGAAGGAAGGGCACGGCAAGCTGGCCGCCATTTGGGAAGGACCGTTCCTTGTCGCCGAGAAGATCGGAGCCGCAACATACGTGCTGGCCACCATGGAGGGGCAGCCGCTCTCCAAAACATGGAACTCCATCCATCTGAAGAAGTATTTCAGCGAATGAAAGAAGACGGTAGTAGGAATTTTTCAAGGAGCCGACGCTACAAGCAGTAGCGCTTTTGTACAAGCTTAACAGCTTAGCACTCCTTATTTTCAACTTTAATACTGCAAGTCGCCACCAGAGCGATACACTTATTTTCAGTTTTAATACTGCAAATCGCCACCAGAGCAATATAGTTATGCACGATCAATCTAAACCATTCTCATGACTTTTAGCGTTTTGACATAGCTTATAACCGCCTCCGGGCTCTAAGCATAACGATGCACTTAACACGGTTCCTAACCGCCCCGATCCAAAATCATAACTTGACACGGACTTAGCATACTTTGGACCGCCACTAAGCTGCAACCATGACTGTGCACACCCTATGGGACTTAGCATACTTGGGACCGCCATTGAGCCGCAGCCATGACTATCCACAACCGCGGCCCAAAGCCCATGAAGTAGATCGATCGCGAAGCAAGAACCATGAAGCTACGCTAACGCAAAACTTCGCTAAAATGCCTAAGGAAAAAGAGCGAAACGAAATGCCGAGGGAAAAATATTACATAAGCTTCGCGCGGAGGCGGAATGTATCAAGTACCCCAAAAAGGGAAGGAAAGGAAAAACACAATTCACAAAGTTAGGTTGGGGATTTAATGGCGCTATCCTCATGGGAGGCAGGCTGGTTCACTTCTTCTCCGCCAGCGGACGCCGCGGCCTGCGATTGGGGCACTACTTCGGAGTTTACATCACTGTCACCCCAAAGCTCAACCGCATCCCACACCGCGTTCCGATCCCAAATCACGTAGGGATGCTCTCTGCGGAACAGGTGTCGGATGGAGGCCACAGTGTCACGCAGCAGCTTCTGGTACTTAGCCTCATCGGCCGCCTTGAACTATCAGACTCATAGAAATTGGCCACGGCGCCCGCTCTGACCTCGGCAATGTCAACCTCCCGCTGCACCTCAAGTTGAGTCATGCTCGACTCCAGCTCCTTGACCCTATCTTGCAGCTGGCTCTCCCGCGCGGCCGCATCCTGTGCCGCTTTCTTCGCCTGCTCCAGCTCCGATGCTGCCTTGGCCAGCTCCTCTCGCGCGGTCTGCAGCTCCGCGTCCTTCACCTGGGAAGCTGCCTCCTGCTCCTTCAAGATCTCATCCCGCAGTTCTCGGAGGAAGCCCTCGCGCCCCTCTTTCAGCTGCTCTTCGAGCGACAAGATGCGGGTCTCGCGGTCACCCAGGTCATCCAAGAGACGCTCGGTTGTCAATATGAGCTGGCTGATCCCAAATTGAGCCTGGAGTCACAAACTTGTGTCAGCATCAAGTCATTAACACGCAGAAGTTAAAACGAAGTTAATGCACGCACCGCGAAGAAGCACCGGGCGGTCACCCCGGGGAGATGACGAGTTTCGGAGGTGGTGGCAATGCCGCTCGGGTTTCGCACATACTCGCTCGGAACCGCGAGTCCTTCGGCGATGGTAAGAAGCGCACGGCGCGCCGGCTCAGCTGATGAGGTTGAATGCGGGGAATATTGCGCACTGGAAGACAGCTCAGTTGTCTTCTGCCTTTTCTGGCTGACGGGCGGATCAACCTGGATGCCTTTCAATTTCCGCTGATCCCTCGCGACCTCCTTCTCTGGCACTACCACGACATCTGAGGGGCGCTTGCTTCCGCTCTTGGTCGCACCCGAATTGGTAGGGATGGTCAGCTTGAGGACCCCGGACCGTCCCATCGCCAGATGCGATTGGGTGGAGCCGCTCGCAGCTTTCGCCCCTTCAGAGGCATTGAGGGCAGAAGGGACCGCATATGGAGAGCCACTAGCAACGGTCTTGGGCGGTCTGGCAGACGAAGCATACCTCCGAATCCCTGAAACATAAATGCTTAAGTTAAGATAAACGATCGCTTCCGGGATAAGCTCGAAGATTCTCAAAGAAGCTTTGATTCAGCAGAGGGAGATTGAAGAGGAGGCCGAGGAAAGAAATCCTACCAGAGAAGGGTTTGCTGACGAAGCCAGGCACGGCGGGGGAGAAGAGGAAGACAACGATGCCGATATTTTGAGGTGAATTCACTTCTACGCAACAAACTGCCTTTCCATTACAGCAGCCAGATGGATGGAGTTTTAGTTGTTTAATTTCCTTTTTGGCAGGGGGAGATTGACGAGGGAGATGAGAGAATATTGGAGGCTTTCTTATCAAAGGGTAGTCTGGAACATACACTTGCAAATATCATTGTTGAAAAGATCAAGGAGAAGGTTGCTCAAGTTTCTTCAGAATCGTGGCCTTTCCCCAAAATGGACAGCTCGGTGATAGATTTTTACAAAGGGTAATGATATGTGTTTTCCCCCTTACTTTGCATGATTTCTGAGACAATGTAATGTGGTGAAGATTTAAGCAGCTTGAGTACTCGTAGTCCTTGTTTAATTTTGTTTTTTATTGTAACCCTTCAGGGTTGGTGAGTTCATGAGTAAATAAACTACTGGGAAATTTCCAAAAGCATTCAGAAAGATCACTACCATGCAACATTGGGAAGATGTCTTGTACCTGACCGATCCTGAGAAATGGTCGCCAAATGGGATGTATCAAGCTACAAGGATCTTGGCTTCAAACTTGGATGCGAAGAAGGCCGAGCGGTTTTGTAGACTAGTTTTGCTTCCTCGAATTAGGGATGTCATTAAGAAGAATAAGAGATTGCATTTTGCTCTTTATCAGGCCTTGAAAAAGGCTATTTTCGAACCTGCTGCATTTAACAAGGGAATATTGTTTCCATTGTGCAAGGTATGCATTCTTATTCAGACTTGTATGTTGTTTTTTATTTGTATGTCTGCACATTTGTTGCTTCTCTTGCATCTAGTTCCATGACTACTGTGACTACTTCCAATTCAGAGTGGGGGTGATTTTTTTGAATAGAAAGAGCATTAGTTGAGTGAATTTGATGTCAACAAGATATATCATAATTCTGCTTTCGCTTCGTATGAAGCATGGATTTCTTAAGGATTTTTCGACTGATTTAGTTTCTGGGGTGATAGCACGTGGTAACCATTCCTGAAGCTTACTTCCATTGACACGGTCACTTGATCCGACTGAATTTATAGGGATTGCCATCTTCTCAAGCATACTTAGCTTGAAGCCTGTATTTCTAGTGACCTCATATTGTTCTCTATCATTAATGTGTGGCTCCTAACTGGTTATCAAGTTGTCCTTTCCTTTAGTTAACCAAACATAGAAACTGGTCTTATATAGTTTAATTATCAGTTATTATTGTAGTGCATTTCAAATTTAATCTGAACTGTGGGACATGGAAATCGTATAGTGACTTCATACCCTTTTGCGAATTTAAGGTTAGTGGTTCTGCTCTGGATCTTCATTCAGTCCCTATAATGTCCCTGTTGTGCTTCAGGAGTAAAAAATATATAATAGCCACTGTAACCAGATAACTCATAAGCAACATAACAGAGCATAGCTTATGACTGATTTGGAATTAGAACCTCTATCTAACCTGAGCAACCTGTGGTTACAAGAGTTTTTCTTATATCTTACTGAAGATTGAGAGATAATCAAGTTTTATAATGTCATTTACCAGGAAGTTCTCGCTTGTCTTGTTACTGTAAGGGTTCCAAACGTCCTTTCAAATGCTCTCAGTTTCTTGTGACCTATGTTTGATTGTGTCAATTGCTACTTATGTCAATACAAAATTCAAAAGATCGTGTATGCTTGGAATAGTTTAGCTGCTGGTGTATGCATGTATATTCAGGATTTCTCCTGATAGTCTTTGAGGTGCTTTTCGACTAATAATTTTTTCCCACTCTGCATCATGTTTGCAGTCAGGCACATGCAATCTTAGAGAAGCAGTCATTGTTGGAAGTGTTACTCAAAAGTTCACCATTCCTGCGCTTCATTCCAGTTATCCCATCCATTTTCCTTATCGATGGTGCGCTTACAATGACTGAAAAACAAGTGTATAATGGGTTTTGTGGAAATTTAATTGCAGTACTATCTTGCTGGAGCTTGCAGAAATGGAGTATTGCGGCACGACAAGGTATAAAGAGTGTCAAATATTGTGCCCGAGTTGAAAAGGTTAAAAAGGGAAATGATCTATGTGGATTCATCTCAATGGATTATCTGTTAGAAGTTCGGTGGAATTATGCTCTTTTAATGTTCTTGATGATTAAGCCACTGGCACAAATTTCTCCTTTAGAAGCACAAGGTGACAGTTTTGTGTGTGACAACACTTTGCTGTTATTTCATCAAGCTTCTTTTGGAAAAGAATATGCACTGCCATATCATGTTATCGAGGGACTTATTGCCCATTACACGAGATTTATGGAGGATTCAAGGATCTTGCCTGCAATTTGGCATCAATCACTACTGGCATTTGTTCAAAGGTATGGTAAATTTTCTTTCTCTGCAAGTCTGTAGACTGTAGGTCATGCTCACGGGTTATCAGTTGAATATTTCATATTTTTAGGAAAGAAGAAATGTTAGTAGACATTAATATGAAGCATGGAAAACTGTGTCCAGTACAAGAATGCACTCTAGAAAGAAGATAAAGAGAACCTTAGAACATTAGTCGGAAGACAAAGGCACCATATGGTAATGGCACCCTGACGTGCAAACTATGTGCAATTGATCGAATTTGGAGGAATTTTACAATACTATATAACATTGGTGCTGTATGTTTTAATGTTATGGTACAACTTCAGATTGTACCTATACTTTTTGTACAAATTTTTTATGGTACAAGTTGAACTTGTACCCTTATGGGATGGTACAAATTTAAGTTGTAAATTTGTATCATAACATAAGGGTACAATTTCGTTTATGGTACAATCGGAACTTATACATTTAACGTTATGGTACAACTTACACATTTAACTTTAAGTTGTAAAGTTGTACCATGACATAAGGGTACAGATTCTTTTATGGTACAGCCAGAACTTATACATTTAATGTTATGGTACAACTTCAAATTGTACATTAAAGCACCAATGCTTTATAGCATAGTAGAAGTGCTCTCGACTTAGTTCATTCTAAATCTCGACTTCACAATCTTGGCTCTCAGGTAATTCCTGAAATTGTTAGAGAACTAGACAACAGCCGGAAATGGGGGGAAAAGGAGGATGATCTTATGGCAACAAATATCCTCTGGTTATGAATTACTTTGGCAGTTTCATTACCTTTTAACTGCTGAACTCTGTCGTCTTCATTACATCTGAGTAGTCTGACTTCATTCCGTGAATCCCTTAACTTCAAATTACCATCTGTTTTTGTAATCAGTAAGACCATCGAGGAAGACCGGTTCAATATACCAGAAGTGCCCATGGCGGAGGATTAAGGTTTTACATCCTTCCTTAATTCTATTGCCATTTTCTTATCTGTCGATGGTTAGGTCGTTCTCGGCTTCTCGCTTGATAGTTCTTCAACCTGAGTTGTCTTTCCGCCCCATGAATCACCACACCAGGGCATTCTGCTACTGTGAGGAAGTGATGTGCTTGGCTACCAGTGGGGAGTCCGGAGAACAAATTTTTTGATTTGTGAGTTGTGAATGCATTTATGATTAGATTTAGGCGGTTGGATGAGAAACAAGAGCGGTTTCTATTTTATGCATGAGTTTTTAGTTTTTACTGCCTATCGTGGGATGTCTTAGCAATTATTATAAGATCTTCCTAGATGAAATGTAAAACTATCAGCACTTGTTTGAAACTTTTGTTTTGGTTGTTTTTTTTTTCAAAGTCAGGGGTTGAAATAGGCAGCCATACAAAAGAAATAAAAAGCGCGAGAGTCGACCAAGAGTGGAACTCTCGATGAAAGGGCCTTTTGTGCCACAAGATGGCAACCCTATTGAGTCGACGAAGAACAAAACAGAGAAAGGGCCTTTTGTGCCACAAGATGGCAGCCCTATTGAGTCGACGAAGAACAAAACAGCAAGAAACACAACAAAAAAGAGAAGCCAAGCCCCGAGTATCCTCCAGTAAAGCTCCACCTTGATCATGAGTCAAGTCACCTCCGACCATCCGCCGAATCAGTTGTTGATAATCCCATGAAATTTGAAAGAAAATAAAATAAAATGCGTTAGGCACCCATTGTATTACTCATTCCTTATATTACAATTTTGGAAACCAAAAATTAAAAACATGAAGATAGAATACGTGGTAACCAAATCCATGCCATACTTTAAGAAAAATGGTCTTAGTTACCATAATACTAAAATAAAATCAAGATAAAACTAATAATAAAATCAAGAGAGGAAAAGTGTACCTGGATATAGGGGTGGACAATGTGCGAGTTGGGTGGGTTTTGGTCTCAAATTGATCCATCCACTTACTAACGGGTTGAAATAATTGTGACCCCCAATCTACCCACATACTTCTGCGGGTTGGGTTGGGTGGGTGGCGGATGAGTGCGGTTGGGTCGCAAGTCAACCTGCAAAAGCAACTCTTCAACTAGCCATTAAGAAAGTTGACTAACATTTATAATAAGTTCGAAGCAAAATTAGTAAGACTACATCATTAATTTGTGATTTTGATACAATTAATAATTTATAGTTTGCATCCCAATATTTAATGGTTATTAACAATAATTTGCATACCAATATCTAATATCTAATCGATATTGCACCAATAATAGTAGTCAAAACTATTATTTATTCTTCACCTTTTGAAGTATATGGTCAGACTGTAGTGCAGTTCGAAAATATGATGAATATTTTTTTTTATAAATATGAATATTCGATACTATAAGAAACGATATTTTTTCATGTAAAAATAGGATTGGGTGACCCGCAATCCACCCACCATCCACTCACATAAGTGCGGGTGGGAGATTTACCAATCCGCAATCCACCCACATCAATCACCTACTGCGTACGGGTCGAGTTATTTGCGGGTGGATCGATATCAATCGCGGATTAACCACCCACATGCCCACCCTACCCGGATACTATCATTCCACATGACCACGAACGGAAGTTGTGCGGAAAAAGTGTGGCATACGGAACCGACGCAACGGCCAGTAGGACGTAACTGTCGTAAAGAGGTAGATCTGGAATACCTGGGATAGGGATGGCAATGGGTCGGGTCGGGGGCGGATAGTGCATATCCGTTACCCTACTCAATGTAGTTCGGGTTTTATCCATACCTGTACCCACACGAGAAATGGGTAGAAAATCAAAACCATGCCCATATCCGTTCGGGTTTCGGGTATCCACGGTTATCCATGGGTAATAATTTCTCCTTATAATTCCACCCAATATGTTAACATTCACACGTATATTCACATTGCGTAAGAGGGAAAGTACGACAATAATTCACTAGAATGACGAAAATTAATTAAAACAACATAATTTCATAAAAATATTATATTTATATGCTAAATATAAAATATTCTAGGGAAAAATAATGATTATTTCTAGACCAAATACATATGCATGTGTATAATCGGGCGGGTTCAGGTTGGATAGTGAGATAACCATGCCCACCCATTACCCGCAATATTCGGGTTCGGGTTTTACCCGTACCCACGAAAAATGCTTCGGGTTCGGATTTTACCCTACCCGATTAGATCGGATTCGGGTGGATATCCACGGTTATGGATACTTTTGCCATCCCTAACCTGGGAGATGCCGGCGGGAAGGGAAAGCCAATCGGCAGCTACGAATCCCCGCACTCACAATCGTCCCCCATCATTTTCATCGCATAGGTAGGTGATGGTGGCGGCAGGCACAAATCCGTAGCAGCAGCGGCAGGAGGCGATGAAGAAGAGATACGACCACGGACCACCAAAACAAATTTCACAAGATTAAATTGTCAATAATCAATAACTAACATCAATAGAGATTGGAAAAAGAATTGATAGAGTAGAGGATCTTATTCAGGCCATATAAAGAGCCTGAAAATCCCATTAAAAGCCGAACTGCTGCAGGACGGAGGCTCATAGTCGTCGCAATTAAACGACGAGAAGTAGAATCGACTCCTATGCTCCGATAAGAGAAGTATTGTTGTACAAATTAAATTAGAAGTATTGTTGTGTATAGTTTTCATAGATGTGGAATTGTGGATGGTCTGACTCACTTATTAGAATTATAGGATCATTTTATACTTTATTTTACAACAAACTTTCATTTCATTCCAAAAGCAAACAAGTGGGAAGCATTACAATTGCAATAATGGAGCGACAAGGTGGGCAATGAGAGTCCATTTCGGAGGAATGAGATTAAGTCGAGAGTTTCTGGCGATCCAATCAGCCAACACATTTAATCGGCAGGGAACAAACTCAACTGAAATTCAATGAGAAACACAAAGAATGGAAACAACACGGTCAAGGGTTGCCCGACATTGCCAAGGCCAATGGCTTGGATCCTATCTCAACGCAATCATTAATCGTTGACAATCGGAGCACATATATGTTGGGACTGGATCTTGGGCAACCAAGATACCTGCATTGAGAAGAGCAAATGCTTCCGCTTGAATCGAAAAAGAACAAAAGAATCTCTCAGCCCTTCCGTTGATAACCTGGCCGTTGGATTTAGCAATACCAATCTCATAAGCCGCCACATGTACATCAGAAACAAAGGATCCAGTGCAATGCACAATCTTACAAAGGATCAGGTGGTGATAAGGTTGTCGACCGAGACTCCCAGTTTGAGAAGGCAAACCAACTGACCTAAAAGAAGGGGAAACTAAGGACGACATCCTAGCTTCATGAACGCTCCGAAAATCTCGATCAACTAAAATTGCCACAGCAGGCGGAGAGAACACCCTTCCAGAAAAAATCGTTCCATTTCGAGCAATCCAAATATTCCATAGTGCGCAATCCTGGTGATTTGGTTAGCTGTCGAACTGTATTTGAGATTAAAAACCCAACTCGTAATACGATTTAGAAGATTAGGACTAGATTGTATATAGGCATAATTGTAATAATAATATAATAATTAGATAAGTTAAGAGTACTAATACAAGTTACAAAAATTTCAACATAGGAAACTTTGATGATACTATACTACACCAGAAACATGTTTATACGCATCAAAATTATACGACTACAATACATGGTCGAAAGTAATTCGTTTGCAAAACAAATCCATGTAATTGAGACGATTCAAATACAAACATTTCAAAATAGTAGAAAGTTGTTACAAATACTCATATTTTAATCCCTTGATTGTCGAGGAGTGATTAGTTGGAACATTTGTTTATTTTATCTAGTTAAACATGAATCATTAGCTGGTAAAAAGCAACCATGCATATATTAAGTTCATTTTCAATTAGTAATCTAAACCCTTTTAAAAAATAGAGCATTACACCACTACACAACCATTTATATGATAGTTTAGGAGAACCCTAGCTAAAAGAACCATTACATTTGTGCATGACGTAGAGTACCAAACCTTTGGTATCTTTCTTCATTTTTTGAGTAGAAAGATCTTAAATCAGATTACATGTTATCACCTTTTGTAGTGTAGCACAGATGCTCGCATTAATTTTATAACTAACAATATTGTTTAGTTGTTAATGTGGGGATATTAATTAATCTAGGACTATGATTATGATTTATAAAATGGATCTTGATCTCCTAGATGCCAATACGGAAACGTTCCAACACCAATAAATTGCATATCTTTTTGTCACTAATTAACAAGCATCACAAATGGTACGTACTAACTAAAACCAAACCGGACCGACCAAACCCGCATATTCTGCCAATCTATCATGACCGCTAACTAGGGGTGGACAATGAGTTGGTCCATATCAGACTACTCGGGACCAAATAGATGTTTGGATCGGACTATACCAAATCGAATATAATATGGTTTGGTCCTTGGTCCTATGAATTTTATAAATACTGAAGGAAAATGGACTGAATTGACATTTATACCGAACCAAAGCGGACCAAATTTACTATTGATCAGGTCCTTGATACTAAGATATCTTTCACTATTAGACCGTGATTCCCTTGCGTTTGAGTTTGGTCCGATCCGGTTTAGACCAATGCCCAACCCTACCGCTAACCATCTATCATCCTCCGCGGCTAGCTATTATTGTTGATAATTATAGTTCATGTCAGGTTAGTATTTAGTACTATTCTGATTGTTGTTTGGGAATGAAACTCCATGATGCTATAGTTATTGTTACGCTAACGCTATAGGGAGTAAGGGTGTGCAACAAGTTGGTTTGTACGGGAACAAATCGAACCAAATTAACGTTTGCACTGGATCATAAATTTTGGGGTCGTTTAGAAGTTGATATTGTTAAATTTATGTGTTGTTGTGAATGCATGTATAATTGTATACATGTGCTGTCGAACTTGATGCATTATAAAATACATCATTTGGATATTGATTGTGTATGTCACATCAGTTAAAAACTTAGACGAAACAATCTTAACTCCACAATTTCAACAATCACAGTTAAAAGCTGAGATATAACAACCCCTCAATTTGAGTGATAGTTTCCATCACATCACAAAAACAATTCATGTATTATTTCTGCTAAAAAAATGAATACTAAACAATACATATATAGTAACAATCTCACCAAAACAATCGTAACTTCCAAACAACCCCTTTATAAATACTGGAGGAAAAATGGATCGAATTGACATTTGGACCGGACCATATACACGGTTGGTCCGATCCTCTATCCTGAGATATCTTTCCTCATTGTGGTCTTAAACTTAGTGGTTCTTAGATGTTCAATTCAACATCCAGAATCTTCAAACCTCCGTAAACCCATCGATTATCATGTAATGATGTTTTTTTTTTTTTTGTGTATCGATGTCATCATATTAGTATCGATCTTCATGCATGGTTATTTGTTGGGGATTTTTCCAGAAATAGCACTTTTAAAAAAAAATTCCAAAAATAGCACCCAACTCCGAAAAATTCCAAAAATAGCACCCTTTCTGAAAAACCGCTCCCTACCAGTGCGGTTTAAGCGAAAACCGCCACCCAGGGGAGCGTTTTTCGATGAAAACCGCACCCCCAGGGGGCGGTTTTGCAGAACGCACCCCCACCATGCGATTTGGTTGCAGATCGCACCCCCAGGGTGCGATCTGCTTTTTTTTTTTGAAAAAT